ATCATTGGAGACTCCCCAAGATCCAATGATAAGATTTACTCCCTGAAGCCGGCTGAACAATGCCAGTGGCAGCAAAGAACTGGCAATGAATTCTGCAAAAACCAATCTCAGTTATATCTGTTATTTTACATCTGTTATTACAGGCTAAGTACTGCTTGTGTAAAACATAGCATTTAGGGTATAGCGGCTCCCTAGCCAGGGATGTGGACAGACATTTATCAAGTATAATTTATTATTTTTAGTTGGTCAAAGATAATGAGTGTGACAAGGACTGTGATGGTAACATTTAGTCAACAAAATGGGTCCCTCTGTCCATGTGGGCAGGCTGTGGCTAACAGCAACTTCCTGAGGGGCAGCCATCTCTGCCTGTCCCTTCTGGGTGGTGGAAGGTATTTTGGTCACCTCCGAGGGTTGTCTGGCTTGCTGTCTCCTCACCACCTGCCTGGGGCTGCCTGCAGGAGGCCCTGAGGGGTCCCATCTCTGTGCCCTCCCATCTCCTTTCTTCTTTCCTTTCTGCAGTCTCTTACGCCATCCATCACACAGTCCGAAAAATGATGCCTAGGAGTACACGATCGTAAAAGTAATACTGCTGTCATACAGGAAAAGGGGTAGGATTTGTTATTACAAGTGAAATAGGGGAAAGGGAACCTGTTACTTTGGTGTGTTTGAGAAGAAAAAGCTTCAGAAGCCTGTACCTGAGGAGACAGTTGCTCAAACTCGAGACAAAATGATTAATAGCTGGAAACTTCACATTGTTTTATGCGAATGTTTCATACAAAGAAATCAGCATTTTTGGACTGGATTCATACATAAGACAACTCTCCAGAGAGTGGATGCTTTGCCGTTACTCCCTCCTCATGACAATGACAAGATCTGCAGCCTACCTGGAAAGCCAGAACTTTCCACAGAGGCGTAATTTGAGGTTGACGGGGGTGGCTCTCAAAGTTGGCCACTCCTTCTGCCATGATCTTTCCCAGGGAGGCTAAAGATGGTCTCAGAATAAAACAATACAATTCTAGTCTGCAGAGAAGTATGGGATGCTTTGTCTTATTCTTGCCACAGATAATATGCACTTACTTTTGCACAGATTCTGGGTTCAGAAAGTGAATTTTAAACTGCAGGACTTGGATGTAATTCCTGGATGTTAGTGCATGCTTTTACCAGACCCTGCTTTCATGTTGTGGAAAAATTTGGACATATATCAGACCTCCCGCCATGCACCCTGTTTTCCACCGAAAGGAAGCATGGTTTTGTGGGCTAGAAGGAGCCACAGCATGCTCTGTGATCGATCTCTGACCTGGACAGTGATGGGACCAGGATCAATGGGAAATGTCAAGGACTACATCTGTTCTGTATTTCTTGATTACTACAGAGGACTACTACAAAATCTGCAAAATAAAAGTTTCACTGATATGGCTGTATTTCCCATTGCATGTAAGCAGTAAGTGAACTGTTGGCCATTATATATGGCTCAGAGTTCATATAAAAGGATACGTACGAGAAATGCTCTAATCCTTCGCATTAGTATCAGAGCAGCATTTGTGGTCTTATGATGGCACAGGACTCACAAGCAGCAGTTCTGAGAACACAAGGGCTGAGGGTTTAAACATGTTAAAGGAGTCTATCTAATATAATGTACTAATATAACTACCAGTCAGTATCTGATACAAGGAAATTCATAAGACCCCTTCCATAGCCTACTGCAAATTTATCTTAGTGAAAATCTGTAATTAAAACATAAATATAATCCAAATGACAAGTGATGTCAATGTTATTACACAACGTAATACAGAGCCTATGACTAGCTATCCAAGTTAAACAGAATTATACTATGAACTTTGAAAATGCTATCTCTATTTCTAAGGAAATTATATTTTTCTTATTGTTTGTGTGATTCTTCTTGTCAGTGGATTCAGTTCTGATTATGACAGTGTTCACAAATCCGTGACAGTTTGGTCTGTGCATGAACATGAGCACCTTTCAGAATCAAACTCTTTCCTGCAGACAGCTCCGCATGAGTATCTGAATCTGTGTCTATCCTAATTTTATACATGGCTTTATAGTCAAGACATTTTTTCATTGTATCTATCCTAATTTTATACATGGCTTTATAGTCAAGACATTTTTTCATATCTACAATAAACAGAGTGACTGAATGGAAGTTACAATGGTGCTAATGG